GGTGCAATCCCACCTTTGCCAGCACACTCTCGTCTCTCCTTGAAGGTTGCATTGATCGAATTGTTTTAGGGTAGATTAAAAAATGAGTAGCTTTTGGAACTGTGTAGACATAGCTGCCTAGAAAACATTGGGAGAAAATCAACACACACGTATTTTTTCTCTTTACTTACAGGTGTTAGAGATTACATGAGATGAACCAACAGGAAAGCAGTATTGGAATGGGAATGTGTATTTGGGTCTCTGCCGTGTCAACAGGAAAGAAAAGTGATGTTCTGAATACAACACTGTGGACTCCACTTCTCCCTCGGGTTTCCCAGCATCTATCCATCCTGATCTCTACTCAGATACTGTCTACTGCAGCATGAACATTCATTTCTTTCACTCCCAGTCGTCATCGTAAACTTGGATACTGCACAGTACCTCATGTTAAACTAGCACGATTCTAGTATCTGAGCCAGCAGAACCCCAGCCATGAGCTGCTAAGGAGCTGGCCCACCTCCGTGGAGAGTGATCACCTCTGAGAGTCTTTGCCACATTGAATATCCTCAGTGTTGTGTTCAGAAAATCACTTTTCTTTCCTGTTGACACGACAGAAACCCACATACACATTCCCACTCTAATATTGTTTTCCTGTTGGTTCATCTTATGGAATCTCTAACACCTGTAAGTAAAGAGAAAAAAATAAGTGTGTTGGTTTTCTTCCAATGCTTCTAGGCAGCTATGTCTACACAGTTCCAACAGCTACTCATTTCTTTAATCTAAAAAGAAAGAATGGTTACAAACCATGGTTTTCAAAACCGTGATAAGTCTACCTAACAGTTTTCTAGAACAGGGGTCACACACTGCTGTGGTTTACTGTCTTAGAACTTGTCAGCATTTATAATTAGGTTTCACATAATTTCTGAGGTGCTCGTAGGTCTCTGTTCCTTTTCCTCCTGTGATATCAGACTAGAAGAGTCTGACCTGAGCTCCCAGGTGGGTGACACTCCCTGCGACAGCCCCCTGTAAAGGTGGGCCATGGCCCCAGCATCCTTGCCCATTGATGGCACCTGTGTGACCTTGGGTATCTGCATCCCCAAGTCATTTTCTGGGACAAGCATTTTACTGGTTGAATAAGGTTTGAAACCAGACATACTAATCCACATTAAAAAGTCACTAAGTTATAGTCACTTCATTTAACCAGAGAATATGAAAATTAATTAAATAAAAAGAGAACATAAACTTCAGCTGTTCTAATGTCTTGTACGTTATCGTATTAAACAAGGATGGTAACTAGTTTACCAGTATTTGTCATGTTATAAAGATCATGAATTGACAGAATAACACTTGATTTTGATTTGTCAGTCACTTACTAAATACTCTGAGGTTGTACTTGTGATTTATAAGCCAGGGTTGTAATTAATAACTCATAAGAAGATGAATAAATCATTCAGATAATCCTTGTCACTCACAATGATGTCTATGTTGGGTACCTTATTTTTAAACAATGTCATTTATTTATGACCATGTGAAGGTCAAAAATGTTATTAGTCGTGTAGCTGTCTTGAAGTTAAATGACTTATAAGAACTTTGTTAAATAAAATAAATTTAACATGCCCCATTTCTAAGTCAAGTGCTGGAAAATAGATGATAGTGTAAAGGTATTTATCAAGTGAATAGATATTAACCTAAAAATCTAACAGACATTAGAAAGATGACTACGGGGTTTCATGCCACATTAAGCACTTATGATTTAAGCCCTTGATGTAAGGATTGCACGGTGTCCGTGTGTATAAATAGCAGTTATTTTCCCAGATCCACTCAAAGGAGTCTCTTGTGAAGGTAGAACCCTGTGTGTGGTCTTGCACACCCACACACATATACAGTGGTGTCTCAGTTCTCTCCATGATTCTGGTCGAAAAACAAGCTGGACAGCAAAGGCGTCAAATTTCCCCAAGCAGTCAACAGTGGACCTGAGCACTGGCTTTGACTCATTCTCAACCAACTCAGTTTGCGGCCAGAGTTGTGGAAAGAATCAAGTTTGTGAACAGAGGCGGCACTGACTATGAGAAGAAGTGTATGTGAGTGTGTGTCTGCGCATCTCCCGGGCTTACAGTGCAGCTATACCCTGATAAACCCATCGGCATTCAAATATCATGAACCAACTTGCACTCAGTGTACTCGTCTGCGGCTCCCACCGCTCATCACACAGCATGCCGCCGAGCCCAGGTCACTTCTGGCCGCAGCTGTGTGGACTCCCGGAGCTGGGCTGGGGTGGCTGCCTCCACCAGTGCCATGAGAGGGGGTCAGGCTGCCCTGTGCCGGCCCAGAGAAGATCCAAATGACAGTGTGACATCACTTTCCATCGCTATGTGCGCGTGTGTGTGCGCGCGCTCGTGCGTGTGGTCTGTGGCTACTGCAGGACGTGGTACGTTAGCTCTTCAGTGTCTCTGGGCCTAGAGATCACAATGGCTTTCCTTAGACATGTGGATTACTGCCCCATAAGTAAAGCTGAGGTGTCTGCAAGGGGAAAGCCTGGGTCAAATGGAATCTCTAGTTTTAGCTTTTGAGGAATCTCCATACTGATCTCCATAGTGGTTGTACACAATAGTGTAAAAGGGTTTCTATTTTCCCGCAGCCTCACCAGTATTTGTTATTATTATTTATTATTAATTAATTAATTTATTATTATTTGGCTTCTTGATGATAGCCGTTCTTTCCAGAGTAAGGTGGGACCTCAGTGTTGTTTTAATTTGCATGTATCTGATGGCCAGTGGTGCTGAGCTTTTTTTCCTGAATTTACTGGCCACTGTACTTCTGAGAAATGTCTATTCATTAAAAAAAAATTAAAATAAATAACATAGCAGACACATTTAAACACTTAACATTTCTTTTCCCTGAAATTATCCTCGTAGTGGAGATTCTGTGGATGGCACTGCTGGGTGGAGTGCTGAGACCCACTCTCCGGGCTCCACGTCGCTTGCTTCTCTGAAGGGTTATGGCCAATTCTGTGGCCGTCACTGCACCCTCGAGGTGACCAGCATCCCTGCACAGTGGCATTTTAGAAAGTGTGCCTTTGCTATTAATAATAATGAAGCTTCATGACCCTCCATATGTTTACTATTCAGCCTGTGCTGGGGAAGACAAGCTGCAGCGCCAACAGGAAGTGCCTGGTTCCTGCAGAAGGCGCCCAGACCGGCCTCTTTCGTGCCTCCGCCTCACCTTTCAGGAGTCTCCCTACTTGTTCAGGAGCGTGGGCTACTCGTGACCACTCCCTGGGTTGCTGTCACACCGCCCCAGTCCGACCCTCTGGACACTGCTGTCGCTGTCCATCCTCCCTTCCAGTGCCTCCTGCTGGCAGGCTCTTCCTGTGGTTCCTGCCACGCCCTCCCAACCCTGTCCATCTCTGGTACAAAGCGAGAAAGTCTGAAGTCCGGCACACGGCCAAGTGCTCACACATGGCCGTGAATCCCACTTCCTGCTGCTGAGGGCAGGAGCAGCCTCTGGGTCAGGCTCTCCCCTCCCTTGCTGCCTTGTGCAGCACCGTTCCTTACTGTTCACAGACAGCTGTGCTGAGGGCCACCCTGGGTCCCAGCTGGGTTCGTGACAGGGGTGCAGAGCAGGGATGCCTGTCTTGTGTGTAGAGTGCGTCCTGCCACAGTCTGAGTACAGGTGTCCCGGGGAGACAGAGGGATGACACCCGGGCCAGCGGGGTCAGCACAAGGCTCATTCAGCTTTAGCAAGGCAAAGGCAGGGGTCGCCCTCACAGGTTAGCTGATACGTTCTGGAGAAGACTTTAACCCCCGGACTGCACAGCACCTGTGTTATCTGCCCTCCTCCCTGGAGGTGCTGCTAGGGAACACAGATACTCTCATGACACACCATCACAAGCTATATAAGATAGCGCCGGCTGAAGAGTAATTGGAAGCTTCCTGATTCCACAGTTCTGTTTTTATTCTGAGAAATACTAAATATGGGTGGATTTCCCTATATTTGTATTTAGATAATAAGTTAGAAAAGCAACACCACTGTGGGCGGTTTGCTGGTGAGAAGCACCTTGATCGCAGTGGTGGGTGTTTCCTCCCAAAGAGGAGAGATGAGTATGGTTCATTCCCACTTAGCATTCCTTACAGGCCCTTTCCATTATTCATTTTCTTATTTGTGCGTCTGTGTGTGTGTAAGTGTTAGTTGCTTTTCTCATTGCCAAGACAAGATAGCCAGTACTCACAAGTTAGAGGGGGAAAGGACTTTTTGCCTCAGTTTGTGGAGGTTTCAGTCCATAGTCAGCTGACTCCAAGCAGGGTGGCATGGCAGAGGAGAAACAGTCCATGGCAGAGCAGGGCGGGCAGGAGGCAGCAAGCAGCAAGCAGCAGGAATCAAACCACTTGTATCTTACCCAGGCTGCCACCTTCAGGGCAGGTACCACTCACCCTCGATCTCAGCCTTGCATCCTTCATCACAGCCTTGAACACCCTAGATCCAGCCACCTCCGTAAAGTCCTACCTATGACCACGTGAGGCTTTGGGGGACAGCTAGACATGAGCCATAACAGTGTATTATTAAGGGCTGGACCGAGCACCTTCAAGTTAAGCCGTATCTCCAGCCCTTCTTGTTTTGTTTTCTGTGACTGGGCCTTGCTAAGTCACTCAGTCTCCTCTCAGTCTTCCTGCCTCAGCCTCTCGTAGTTCTGGGATGACAGGCATGCACAACACACCCTGCTTTATATTATTTTTAATTAAATTATATGCTTTCTTTGAAAGACAAACTTTGTCAAATTTATTTTTATTATATGCTGTAATTTATCTAAAGCACACAGTGAGTGCTCACAGAGTGCATGCGATTATAATTCTAATAACAAAACTTGTTACTTTCCTTCTTCAGGATGGTGCTTGACTCCTTGGATGAGACGTATTCACTGCTTATATTCAAAAAGTCACTTTTCAGCAGCTGCATGTAATCACGTTCTTCCTCTAATTCCAGACTCTCTCGGATGACCTCAAAGCTGTCCTTTCTCATTTCAGCCTATGAGCTACAGAACTGCCCTGACCCACCCCCCTTCCAGAATGGGTACATGATCAACTCCGACTACAGCGTGGGCCAGTCCATCTCGTTTGAGTGCTACCCGGGGTACATCCTAATAGGGCACCCTGTCCTCACCTGTCAGCACGGGACCAACAGAAACTGGAACCACCCCTTCCCACGGTGCGATGGTATGTTCCTCATTCTTCTTGGGGACGATGGACTCCTTATGGGTGTCGTAGTGCGTGAAATAGTAAATGATCATATCCACTAATTTTGATTTATGCAACAAATATGTATAGGCCATATCTGTTGTCATCCTCATTCCTCTTAGTGTTTCAGGAATATATCAAATGCCAAAAGGCTAAAAAACAGGCAGCTCTTGCTCTCAAGTAAGACACATAACAAAACAATAGTCATGCATAATTGTAGTACAAGCCCTGCTGCAGGAGCTGGGAATGATAAATGGGACACGGAAAGGGCTGCAGCGGGGAGCTCCACAGAGGATGGACTGGGTGTGAGATCAGAGAAGACGGTGCTTACTGATTTTATTCTAGGCATTTGTTCTAGCTAACTTTTATGATAATCAGATACTGAGGTTGTGTTTCAGAAACGGAGTTTGTGCTGGCTGTGGCCTGGAAGGACACCTGGCATTTTGTTACATAGGACAGCGGGCCCTGCAGGTGCAGGAGAGAGAATGGGCTGAGGACCGTGGTGGGGACGGTCTCAGGACAGCTGAGGCCCTGAGCTCGGCAGTGTGTGGCACTGGGGACCTGGCAGAGGGGGACAGGGGTCTGGCATGCGAGCCCAGGAGACTCCTTGTGTGGCTGTCTGAGCTGCTGTCACTGCTAAAACCTTGTCTGGCCTTCCGATTTTATGACTTAGAAACTTTCATAGGCCCAGCTATATAAGCGGATGCAGGCCTGTGCTCAGGGGCGTGCGTGGGTGGGAGGAGCCCACAGGGAACCCAGTAGCCTCGCAGTGCAAACACAGTGCCCAGTGCCTGTGAGTGAACAGTAATGAAATTACCCGCTCCGAGGACCTTTGGCACGCGAAGCACTCACATCCCACAGGGAAAAGGGAAGCTACAGCGTGTTTGAATTTCCACTGAAGGTGCAAAAAAGCTTGTCAGGGCACTTCTAAAAAATCACCTTTTCACTCCATCACAGATCATTACAAGAACAACTTTGTGGGACAAAAAAATTAGCTGTATTTTTGAAATTCCTTAACTAGGTCTAATATTTATTTAACTACATATAAAATTGCATATAAAAATAATTTTGTGAAACTAAGTGTAGCATTGACAAAATCCTCCACCAAGCAGCGATAATTAGCATCGTACCCTTCCTTTCTGTCCACAATGTCTGGGACAGAATTTTAAAAAGGTGAAAGCAAACTTCCCGTAGAATTGTATCATAACATAAGTATTGCAAGGAATTAGAAGGAATACATAGAGAATATCTCAAAAGCACTTAGTGTGCATTTAGTATCCTTTCCATGGTAGATTTAATTTAAAAATTTGTAAAAAATAAGCAGAGAAAAAGCAAGAGGCACGGTCCAGAGCCCGCCAAGGCCGCGGCACCCTGAGCAGAGTGCACCCCGATGTCCTTGTAAGGCGCGGTGCCGCCCACCTCGGCCCGCCACGGAGGCTGCCTGAGACCGGGCACAGAGACGTCTTCCAGAGGCCGGGCCTGTGGGCCCCACAAAGCTCATGAAAGGAAAAAGCACATGTACTAGGAACAGCTTCCGGATGTCTTTATGAAAATTTGGCAAGTTCACACAATCAATATTAAAGAATTTGAAATCAGGAGCCATCTGCCTTTATGAGGATATATTAAGTCAGCTTGTGTTAATGTGCTGAAATATGTATGTGTTAACTTGAAAAACTCTACTGGTAAAATTAGTGTATTCTAAATTTACCTGAATAAAAACTGTGATCTAAGGATATTATACCTATTAAGATTACATGTAAATGAAAAATGAATATCAAAGTAACGAAAAAGTCACATTTTTTTCCTCCCAGTACCATAATTATGCAGAAATCTTAGTTCAAAAATATGAATTACCGGGGATGAAGCTCAGCAGTACAAGCGCCTGCCTGGCAAGTACAAGGTCCTGAGTTTGATTCCCAGTACCAAAAAAAGAGGATTACGATCAAAATATACTTTGAAAGGTTCTGGTTTATAAATTTATTATATAACTTGATGAGTATATTTGCCTTTATACTTAGAAATATATTTCAAAAATTTAAATAATGTACTGACCTAATTAATCCTTTTTACTGAGCTGTTCACGCTGTCATACCTCAGATATTTTTGACATGAATTTAATCACTATCATGATATGCACAGCTGTGTGTAGAGAAAGGGGGTGACGCAGACAGAGGCGGCTGTTGGGAGAGGGCTCCGTGTCCTCAGCCCGGAACAGAGGACCTCCATGCTCAGCAGCTTGTGTTCCATAACTGTCCAGTGAACTCACAGCCTCCTCCACGGTGCCGCCCGCAGCACCCAGCACTTTCACCCTGGCTGTGAAAGTCAAGGTGACACTGCCTCCACCCTTCCTGACTCAGCCAGCACTGGTTCTGGGGTCTGGTCAAAGCAGGTGGCTTTGGCATTTCCTTCTGCTCATTTTTCTCTGGAAAAGTGCAGCGGATGTGTCCCGTTATCTGTGCTCTGCACAGAAGTCCTCCCTCTTGCCCCGCTCTCCACACTGAGCCTACCCGTGAATGGAAATGTGAAGGAGCAATGGTAGGTCTCCTCCGCGGCCTCTGTCACCTCCCGTGGCGAGGCTGACGCACAGATGCTCTCTGGCACCGGGCTGCCTTCCCTCACCCTGGCTGGGTGGGAAGCTAGGAGGCTGCTGTTCTGGTCCGGTGAGCTGCTTTGCTCTCACTGCAGACTACACATCACTGCAGGGGAGGGTGGGGACCGCCTGAGACACCGTTCAGAGCATAGAGGGCAGCCACGCCTGCCTCCGCTGCCTGCACAGGAGCGAGAGAAACAGTAGGGGAAGCTTTGATCATCCTTAAGGCCTCTTCTTTCCATCTCAAGCTTACCTAGCAGGAAGGACATAGAGTCTTTGCCTTGAGAAGGTCTGACCAGTGCAGTGCATGTATTACTCCCGTGAGAGTACAGTGACAAGAGCCATCTGCTCCTCCGTCATCGCACACGCATCAATTTAATTCCACAGTGAGTCAGTGTTGGATGAGTTCCTCGCTTTATCAGCGTTGTGGAAGTCTCACTTAGGCAGTCACGGGGCTCTGGGTTCACAGCTGTATCCCTAGCCCTAAGCACCCTTCTCCATAGACCCTTGGTAAGTACATGTGGAATAAGAGAATAAAGAATTTGTTAATTAAATATTTAAGGATCACTGCCTGGAGCAACGTCAGAGTTGTAAAATGGCATAAGCAGTATTGGAAGCCGAGGATGTGTCCCACCAAGAAAATCGCCACGTCAGTCCCTTTTCCTTTGAAGAGAAAGAAACCTGTGGGGGTTTTTTCCCCTGCATTTGGCTTACTGTCCCTATGGGAAGGAACTGGAAAGGGCCACCATCTAATGTGATCGTGCAATTGCAAAAGGAACTTGTAAGCACAACTCTCAGGGAATCCTTAGCTTTGCACATGGACACTGAGTAACCCCGAGCCGCAGGGGAGATGGCTGCCTCCTGGCTGGAATGCGTCCAGTGTCCAAGTGCTCCCTGCCCTCCTCCCACTGGTCCATCAGCTCTGCAGTTTATAGCTGTCCAGTGCGTGGTCTCCCGAGCAGGCCTGGGTCTCTGAGGGATCCTATGGGAGCCCCGGAAGGGCCCTGTCCCTGTCTTCCAGGAGCCTTTAGTTGGATGGGAAAGAGCAGTTGGATGGGAAGGTTGAGTGGAGCCAGGCCATCAGGGAGCAGATGGGCACACGTGGAGTGTGGGAGGCTCCAGTCACTTGGTGGCATTCGAGCTGAGTTTGGAGGGAAAAGGCAAGTCCACTGTATTACGGGGATCCACACACACCCACGCTCATAGCAGCACAACTCTCGGTAGCTAAGTCTCTGAAACAGCTGTATGTTCATCAACAGATGGATGGACAGAGGAAATGTGGTGTTCACACACCATGGAGTAATTCTCAGCTCTAAAGAAGGAGAGGGGCCGGGGATATAGCTCAGCTGCCCAGCACCTTCTTCGCAAGCACAAGGTCCTGAGTTCAATTCCTGGTACAAAAAAAAAAAAAAAGAAGGATAAACTTGCACCATCTGTAGGAAAATAGATGCACCTGGAAAACATAATGTTAAGTGCAATAAATCAGACATAAAAGATTAACTATTACATGGTTTCTCCTATATAAGAAACTCAAATTATAAATAAAAACACAATAAAAGATATCTAAGGAAGTAGAGAGACAGATCTTTTGCAGTGAGGAGGGGAGAGGCGAGGAGAGGAAAAGAAGGTGAAAGAAGCATTGGTGTGCCATGCACACGCACCAGCTCACCGTGAGGACTGCAGTCATCACTACTGCAGATACGTGCCACCAAAAGGACAAATCAAAGTGAAAACAATACTTCCGAGCAATGTGGGGAAAAGCACGGGGTTTTTCAGGAGAGCAGGAAGGGCCCCCGCTGCACGGAGTCTGGAGGCAAGGACATGCTCCCTCGTGAGGGCCACCTGGCCTGTGCCCCCTTCACAGATAGGAGCTTTCCGTTTGTTCCAGGCCCTGTCCTCCTGGATTTGCAGAAGTGAGGCTCTGAGTGATCACTGGGTTTCAAGGTGACAAATCTGGGTTTGTCTGACTCTAAACCCCACTTTCTGATTTTGCTGTGAAACCCTGAAGGTGTTCTACACAGCCCTTCGTCTCCTGAATGTACACAAGGCTTGGCCAGACTCACTCTGGGTGACACCAGAGCGACCTGCTCGGCTTCATCATTCCCTGCCCTTTGCATTATCAGGCATTGTTCTGAGTTAATATTAAACTCTTCTTGCTTCTCTTTTGATGTATTCTGGACTCCTCTGTACCAGTTTTTGACAGTACCACAAGATTCATGCTAAACATGGACACTCACACCGCTGACGGCTTTTGGTTGATTTCAAAGGCTACTGTCTACTCACACCCTCTATTGAAGCACAGACTACACTTCAGATTGTCCTAGCAATGCAGTCACATCACTTTCCTGCAAGTGGCATAGTTCCTTTGGAAAATATAAATACCAATTTATTAAGTAAAATAAAATAGGGTGGGCACTATGATTGTTCATGTAATTTAACACTAGTAGATATGCAAATACTTCAGTACAATACCATGGACATAATTTTATCTTGCTTCTTTAGGGTATAGATTTGTAGAAAATTGATAATGTCTTTGTTTTAAGACAAATAGGCTCGGATGCCACTCTTCTGGCCAGCTTAAACAGGCTTAGAAATGTGAGTCGGAAGGAAAATCTTCAGAGACATGTTTATGCATAATTTCCTCTTAATCCGTTGCATGGGACAGACCCATGGATTAGCAGCGCAGGCCTGAGCAATGACTGAGTAGGATCCTTAATCACAGAGGGCCAACTATTCGGAGGGGATTTTGAAGATTTGGAGACTATATTAAGTGGGCTGAGATAGCTCAGCTTAGAAGTATAATTCTTCTCAAGTTTCCAGACTTTAGGGGAATAACTTTGACAAAGCAGTCACTGAGAACTATTTTGTAGTTATTTCTTACCTGAGACCATTTTGACTAAGAAAATTTGGAGACTGAAATAGCCGCCTCCTTTCTAAAATCAGTGATATCGGGCTTATTTTTCCTGTTTCTCCTTTTGCAGCTCCTTGCGGGTATAACGTGACGTCCCAGAACGGAACCATCTACTCCCCTGGCTTTCCCGATGAGTACCCCATCCTGAAGGACTGCCTCTGGCTGGTCACCGTCCCCCCAGGGCATGGGGTATACATCAACTTCACCTTGCTGCAGACAGAGGCAGTGAACGATTACATCGCTGTCTGGTAGGAGCCCTTCGGGGACCGAGCCCACCCCCTCACAGAGCTGTTCTGAGTTGGCCTTGGTACCAGCTGTGTCGGGTGGTGTTCACAGACACCCCAGTTCATGGTGCAGGCTCAGCAGCCTGTGTGCATGGTGTGTAGTGTGTGGAGTGTGTGTGTTTCTCTGTGTGTGTCAGCATATGTATGAGAGCACGCTTGCTTGTGTGTGGAGTGTATGTTAGTGTGGGAGCTGTGGCAGATCTCTCCATGCAGCTCTCCAGTGCAGCAGGAGGTACTGGTGCCGTCCAGCAGTGACAGAGCACAGGGCCTCACCCACCCTGCCGGGAACTGGGACTTTATCTAAGGGTGTGGGTGAGGGCTGTAAGAGGCAGCACTGCCAGACCTGGAGGAGGCTGAGGATGACAGGTCACTTTGCAGTGGAGGGCAGGCAGGGAGGTCAGCGTCCAGAGCTGAGGGAGTGGCTCTCTTGGGGAGGTGACGGGGCCTGAGGATGAAGGGACTCAGAACCATCCCAAAGCAAAGCCTAACGCAGCAGCCACATGGGACCACTGCTGTTCACACAGATGCTGCTGCGTGAGGAGGTAGAATCAGAGGTCTTCAAAACAGGCGCAGTCAGAAAGCTCAGGAAGGACAGACTGCACCGCTGGATCAACTCTGTGACTAGCAAACATCCTATTTCTAAGCGCAGTGTCCAGAGCATGGTTATATTTTATTGCATTGTTTTAATTATTTTATTTTACCTACAAAAGTTTGTGCAAACCTATTCCTTGCTAAGTAGACCTCGCTGCAGTTAGACTTTACACCAAGGGGATTGGAAAGGAAGCTGGTGCGTGGCACTGCACCCATCAGAGTCAGGGAGAATCCGGTGAAGAGGGGACCAGCCGGCCACCGTCTGGGCTTGATGGCCCTCAGCCCTGCATCCTGAGCTGAGTGTAGATCCGGGTTCCTCTGACCCAGCAGGCACTGACCCCTCCAGCCGCTCTGTGTCTCCTAGGGATGGTCCGGATCAGAGTGCGCCCCAGCTGGGAGTGTTCAGTGGGAACACTGCTCTGGAGACGGCCTACAGCTCCACCAACCAGGTCCTGCTCAAGTTCCACAGCGACTTTTCCAACGGAGGCTTCTTCGTGCTCAATTTTCATGGTCAGTTTACTTTCAGTACATTAAGACCCTGGAGCCCAGGGGAAATTCCCATTTCCAGCCCAGGTTTCTCAGCTCCCCCAAAAGCTTGGGGCGTTGCCATGAAGGGTGTTCAGAGCTTCCTGGGATCCTCCCACAGTTATCCAGATCTTTGTTACCAGGCCATGTTTTGAAGCAAGCTTGAACTCATTGCAGCACATATTATTGTCGATGAAACCCTGATGTGGAGCCTGCAAAGCCTCTTACAGGTTCACACATCCCTGCTTTGAGGATGTGTTGAGCCCATGCCCAGCTGTAGTCAGTGGGATCAAGGCAAATGTATAACGACCTCGGGAGAGAACTCTGAGCGAGGTGGCAAGTCGGTGGGCCCTAATGTTGCCGGGTGCCCGCAAAACCCTGCAGGACAGACAGAGGACATCTTTCCGAAGTGGACACACAGTCACCCATGTCTGAATCCTCTCTATGGTATCCCAATGTTATATTTTTAAAATTACACACTTTTCTCCTTAGGCTTTAAATATTACCTGGCATTGAATCATTACATGAGATTTATAAACTCATGAGAACATGAGAGGTGCATAAACCAGTGACTTCTTCATGGAGATATTTCAGTGTACAAAAGAAATGAGACTTTAGAGGAATACTGTTGTGTCATTTTGCTCATTCAGCAAGTGCAAGTGCCCTTATCCTCATGTTTTTCATGAAACATCAGCGTTCCAGCTGAAGAAGTGCCCGCCACCGCCCGAGGTCCCCCATGCAGACATGCTGACCGAGGACGAGGACTTTGAAATAGGTAAAGCATCCCTCCCCACAGCACCTGGAATCTGATGCTATAGCTACCTCTTGCTGCACACATTACCAAGACCAACAAATGGGTAATTTGCCGGAGGGGTAGGGAAAAAAGACATCTCTAAAGCATTGCTTTGCTGGAGTCTGTACAGAGATCACAGTTCCGAACTAAAACGTTCTTCTTCCTTCATTTCCGTGATTTTTGTTCTGCCATTTGCACTGCTTCTTTGTCACTTTGAGCATATTTTCCTCTTTGGTACATGCCAGCTCATTTTGTTTCCAAGTTTCCAGAGACTGTTTAATTAGGGAAGCATGTTGCATGCACTTGAGAAGAACCTAACCGTTTGTAGCTTAAAGACTGGTGACTAGAACACCACTGAAACTGGCATCTAATTGGCAAGGTATACTTAATGCTAATGTTTAGAAATACTGCTTTATCATTTTACATCAATTATTAACTCATTTACATCAATACATTAACTCATTAAATAACCATCAGGTCATATGAAGAAAGCCATCATGGCATGCTTGCAATGTAATTACTGTGATGTCTCATTCCCAGGGAAAAACACTTTGTCCTGTTGTCACACTGTGTTTCAGACCCCTGGCCAGACAATGTGACACTGTTCCCGGCCCGCTCCGCTTCCCAGTCAGGCAGGTTAAACCAAGGTCACACCAAGCCCTGCCCGGGACATGAAAGCCCTTCACCCTTCTACTGCGTGGTGTCGTGCATGCTCCAGGCACTTGCCTCACTTTTTCTGTTTACTTCATAATCACTGGAGCAGGGGAACCCCCGTTGTGTCAGTCACGGAAGAAGAAACAGCACATTATTTCGGTGCTGACATTGGTTAAGTTTAAGGCAGTATGTTTACAAATGAAGAAGAGCTGAAAGCGACACTTGCTAAAAACAGAACAGAGTACGTGGAGACATTGAGTCTGGCAGGGTTTGCATGCTGACCTAACTCACTCAGCAGCCCTGCTTGACGCATTACACCGGGAAGGTCTGAGAAGGGTGACTCCCTGCTCTGTTGGGTTGACTCTTCCAGGAGATTTCGTGAAGTACCAGTGCCACCCTGGGTACACCCTGTCGGGGAGCGACACGCTGACCTGCAAGCTCAGCTCCCAGCTGCAGTTCGAAGGTGCCCCCCCGGCCTGTGAAGGTATGCGAGCCATTCGATACCACTGAATACATAGTTCTGAATGGGTTTGGGTTAGTCTCTTTCTGAACTGTGACCCTGTTACAATCTAAATAACCTGCTAAGAGGAGTTTCTAGTGATGTTTTCTAAGCTAGCCCTAGAAAATAAACACATCAGAAAGAAGTCATATTTTTTTCCCAACAACTCATCAAGGAAATGTTTAAGTTTATGGCACAGTCCAAATAATTTTAAGAGGAACAGCTGAGTGCCTGCCTCCAAGGTGACCTCATCGACGTTAACAGCTCTTCGCTGATCACGAGTCTCTCTGTTACCTTCCCACCCACCCATTCATCTGTTTTATGCTTTGTTTTTCAAGGTAAAGTTGTGCATCACGAAATTCTTTACCTGTAATTCAGCCTGAGTAGAACCAACTAGTTTAATATTTGTGAGGTAAAATTTATAAACAATGAACAGTGTGTAGCTCTTGTTTTCTCATGCCTTTAAGATAAACAGACCATGTGCAAGAATTTAGACCATCTGCAATAACAGAAAAAGATTTGAGGCTGACTCCATGTCTTCAAAGGGCTAGAATACAGCCGCATCATCTGAAAAATATAACTTACTGCACACCACTATCAAGTGCCATTAAAAGAGAAAAGGCTTAACAACTATAAATAAACTCAAATGGCCCAAGTAAGTCAGAAACATGCGCAGTTCACAAACAAAGAGCTGTCTGAATTGGATCAGACAGTGTCTTTGGCAATGGCGTTCTCCCTGGCTGGGAATCAGGGTGTTATTACTCACCAGAAAGAGGGAAGCAGATCAGCAGGCTGGAAGTTAGAGAAGGAGATCCAGGGAAGAGTCTGGACTGCTCCAGGCCCTTTGGAATGTCACTGAGCCCTTCTCACCATGCCTCAGGAGGAGGACTTGTTTATGAAATTGGTGGGAGACTCGGGGAAAACAAGTGGTTCATCATGTTGGGAGTCTTGTGACACCATCTACCCACTAGAGACAGTCCTCCTCTTCATGGTGTAACGGCAGAAATTCCCCTGGCACAAATTGGGCTGTATTCCACAACAGACCTGAGTCTACTGAGAACAAAACAGAGTTTAATTTGAGGCTAGCCACCCTCACTTCCCTTGCCAATCTGGAAGCAGGCCAATGGCCAACTTTGTTCCACCTTATATACATTTTGGTTTCCATTGGCAACAGGTTGGGATGTTACATTCACTGACCCCGGTGGGCATACGGTGTTTCTCTCAGCCTGTTGGACCCCAGGTCAGTTGCAGGTCACATGTCTAATCATGATAGATGTTTTCCTCATTGTATTCCATTTGTCTCCTTTTTTACAACCTATGCATTCCTTTAGGGTTACAGTGTTTACCTAGGGTCAGGAGATGGAACTGCCCAGGCAGGGTCACGGAGGGTCACCTAGGCCTAGGTGCCCCCTTGTCTTGGGGAGACATTCCTGGGCAGTGTTGATGTGGGGAATTAGCTCTTACACTGTCCCAGGAGGCTTCCCAAGGCACCATGTAGGCTTTTACCTAAACTATTTTATCTAAAATAATATGCTAAGATTCATTGCCCCCTACAATGGAGGGCCCCGGGTTGCCTTGGTTGGCGAGGGCCTGGAGCCCAAGTGAGGTGTGTCTGAGCCCTGAGAGTGGCCTACATCCCAGTCAGAGGGAAGGGTTCTTGCTGACTGAGGTGGAAAGGGACATGTGGTATGGAATCAACAATGACTGAGTATCTGTGATAACTTTAAGTATTTCCCAGAAAGGGAACCCTGAGTAAAACTGCCCACGCAGAGCTGCGGGTGAGGGAAAAGCTGCAGTGGAAGAGCAGCGAGTGCTCTGTAAGGTTCCCTGAAGGCAAGAGCATGGGGTCACTGAGGTGCTGTCCCTCCTGGCCCGCCGGTCATCAGTCAGGAGCTCAGAGCCCCTGCCTTGGGAAACATCAATGCAGCCAAACCCCACAGCACAGCAGCAAGGAGCCGCTTTGGACTTGCTTCTCAAGAGAGGGACTCTCCACATTTTAAAGTTATGTTTAAAACAAGAAGGCTCTGGTGTTTCTCAGAACAGAGGACTCTCAGCAAAGGCAGTCTTAGCTGTGCTGTGAAGGTGCACGCATGTGTTTAGTAATCTGTCCTGAAAGTGCACTGCACACTTGTTACACTGTCCTGGTCACAGCAACCTGGCTTTGTTTAAACAGGGCTTAATTCATGCTTATCCAGGGATAGAGACAGTCACCCCAAAGTGAGCCTCAGTCGCTAAGTTCCTTGGGCTCCACACATCCTCGGAAGTCTCTGTGGCACCCCCTCTGCTCAGGCCAGAGCTCCCCATCTCTCCACCTCAGCCTTGCTGCTCCCCACAGCCCGGTGCCCATCCCTTGCCTTTCACTGCCAGAGCACATTCATTTGAAGGAACAGACTGGTCCTAGCTCTTCTCTTCGAACAACTCATTGCTTAAAAACAGAAAAAGCAAGCATCATGGTCCACACTGGTAATGCTAGCACTCTGGGAGGCTGAGGCAAGATCTCAAGGTCAAGCCCAGCCTCAGCAATTTAGTGATTTTGCAAGACCTTGTCTCAAATAAAAAATTTAAGAAAGAGTTTGAGGATGCCACTCAATGTGATGCCTTGGGTCCAGCTTTCAGCACTATCACCACCATCACAACCATCATCACTGTCACTATCACTACCATCACCATCACCATCAACATTCAGCATCATCACCAACACCATCACCATCATCACCACCACCACCATCACCACAGTTATCAACACCATCATCACCACCATCATCACCATCACCACCAACATTGTCAGCATCACCATCACCAGCATCATCATCACCATCATCACCACCATCACCATCACCACCACCATCATCACCATCATCACCATCATCACCACCATCATCACCATCACCACCAACATCAACATCACTATCACCACCATCACCACCATCATCACCATCATCAGCAGCAGTAGCATCTTTATCACCACCACCATCACCATCACCACCACCATCACCACCAACAACAACAAACAGGAAATAGGAGCCAGACCTCACCTTTTAGTGATCTTTAGTCACTTAAAGGCTTAATTACAATCTTTCTTAAAGTACTTTCTAACTATAATCTTATTTTAAGTACTTCCCATCATTTGATTGATCTGACTGGGTTCAAGTGGAGGATAATCCCCCAGTAAGTTCCTGATGAAAGATTGCAGAACCTCTTTATCTGCTTCTTCAAACGTCAGGACATGCTCTTGCAAGCTCTGCTCTGAACACTGCGGTAGATGTGGAGGAGCAGGGCAGGGTTGCTGACAGTTCTGTGGTGTGCAGATGGGAGTCACCTTGTGTGGAGCTTACCTAGATGTAGACAAGGGTGCCTGTGGGATGCCACAGCTGTGTCTTTCCAGGGCTCAGGAAGGAGGATTCAGAGGGGGAGGAGAGGTAGTAGCCAAGGTTTGGATCGACAAGGCCATGTGGTGTCTTCGGGAGAGCAGGTGGCTCCCCACAGCTTGCTCTTAGCTCGTCTTTGGGAAGAGCTCCCCGGGAAGGAAAGCTAATGCAGAGTCAGGGTAGGAAAGGGCACCATGCCGCATGATAGCATCCTGTGAACCGGGGGACCCGTCAACAGTTTCCAAAATATTCATTTAAACAAAGCTGGGATGTCATTTCCAGTACACACTGCAGAGCATCCCTGGCACCTGGCCCTAGCCACTCCTCTGGAAGGCAGCAGAGGGGGCACCTGAAGGAGCTGGCAGGAGCCTCATCCTGCTGCCTTGTGACAGCAGCCAGCGCCGCAGGGCCCATGTGGCAGATCCTGCCTCTTTAAAGAGTACCTTCACCTTCAGCTTGCTGACAAACCAGGTGCTTCTAAGAACTAATCTTAATGACTAGAAACTGAAACTTCTGTTTCTCAACCTGTGTAACTAATCCTAATCTTTTATTACTTTCGCTGAGAAGCTGCAAAGCGCTTTCAATAATGCACTTCATAGTTTTAAGCATCAAATTTGATTTTTCTTCAAAATAAGCTAAAGGAATTGCTGTGCTCAGGGGCTCCTGGCCACAGGCTCAGTGTGTGTCTCAGAGACAAGCTCCTGTCCTGAGTGTCCCTGACAGGATCCTGCATGGATGTGTCCCATGGCATCCTCCAGGGGCTCCGGTGGAGGCACTGGTGCCTCACGTGGAATTGCCACGGGGAAGTGGGCGGTTCAGTGGGGAGCAAATGCATGCCTGGAATCTCCCGATCCTTGTAGTGCTGCTCCTGGTAACCTGTAGAGGGAGGAACTGGAAGGGGCAGGGCCGGCAACAGGTCAGGGACACAAAAAAGACAAAACACTGATGCATGTGGGGAAACCCCCCCCAGTGTGATTTCAAAACATGTATACTGGGAAACAGTGTGTTAAGTGTCATTAAAGATATGATACAAGCAGAATTTTGTCTTCTCTAAAACACAAAAGGAGCGTTTTAAGAATGGAGGAAATGAGTCTGGCTCTGCTCATGAGCTACTTCTGACTTAGAATCTCAGAACTGCTTTCTGGCTCTGGGGTGTGCTCACTGTTTTACAGGTGGATTTCAGCAGCTCACTGGAAAGTGTGCTATTTCCAGATGGCCTGAGGTTCCAGAGTGATCTCCTCACTACAGCCACAGTGAGAAGTACACAGGGCAGAGAGGGCTGCAAATTTCTGAAATACTACAGGACAAAGGATACTCAGTAGCACCTTAATGCTGACCTTTCTTCTCTCTCTAACCTGCTCATCCATGCCTTGCTATAGAAAAGCACTTGTACAAACTGGGTCTCTCCTTATGACCCCGAGGGGTCGCTATCATGGCCTCTACTCCTAGCAGAGACAAGGAAAGCTCTGGCTGTCATTGCAAAGAGCAAGCAAATCTGTGCAGCTTCCAAAACCCACACCCCACCCACAATGGTGTGCAGGGCACTGCTCCCATATATGCACTGTGCTCTTCCTTAAATAGCACCAGGTCTACTTGGAAAGGACATGAAGTACCACACAGAAGGTTCACCGCCGTCACTGAGTTTTCTCACTTACTGCTGAGCTGTTTCGGACTGAGTTCTGTTAGAATTATGTTTGATGGTATTTGTTATTGTCATTAATTCATCACTGTAAGTATTTTTCAAATCTGACCTAAAATACGCACTTATTTAAAATAATCTATCATATGTTTCATCATTGGTGGCTTCATGTCTAAAAGTTTCTAAATTTTCAGGTACATCTCAACTAGTATACCAAGATAAATGGAAGAAAATAGGAGAAAGATAATCTTTTGTTATATACACGTACTTAAACAACACATTTCATATTCCATGAGTCCTGGTAATCTGTTTGAGAAGCATCTTTTCTTTAAAATATATGTAAAAACAATAGTATTTACCTAACTAAAAGGAGTAACTAACTGAATGTGTTCCTTTCCACACAAGCTCAGTGTCCTCAATGAAACCTGATTATTGGATCTTCTAGACATTGTAAATTGTTTTAATATATTTCTATTTGTGAGCCGTTACCCAGTGATGGAAAGGCTTTTTCCTTAATAGCTCTATAAGCAAAATATTTTAGAAGCATAAAACAGCAATGCAGAAACTACTAATACAGTCCTCATTTTTGGTATCTTTCTTTTGCACAGTCATATTTATGCAGATTACTTTTATTTTAATTAACCTGGAAGTAGCTGAAAAAACACGAAGCAGGAGAAAGGTGTGTGGACATATAGATAATAACTTCATGGTTTGCATGCAGTAAATCCATCCCTTAGAAATTGCCGTTCCTGCCACAGATTCTGAGCGTATATGGTCTGAGGTGGATGGAAGCCAGACTGCTTCATTCCTGTACTATTGCAGAGCATGTAAAAGACTCACATTAGATTTTCTTTTCATGAAATTGCCCCTTATTCTTGTTATATGAGTGTATGGCAGAGGAGAGGTTCTTACTTTGTGGTTGCTTTGGGAAAAGTTGGGATTCTAATATGAAAGCCACAGGCCACCTGCCCCAAATGAAGGTGCATGGAACGGCAGCTGAGCACACGCAACTGCTGCCGGAAGGTGCAGGTCATCGTTACTGTTCAGCGTTGTTCCCACTGTTTGCATCCTGTGTCCCATTTGGTCACAGCTCGGAGAACGGCCCTTTCTTCTCGTGGCGTTGCACATGCAAGGGTAGAAAGTATGCTGCTGAAGCTGCACACACCCTGGGGACGCTAACCTCTCCCGGGACTTCTCTCTCCAGCACAGTGCCCGGCGAATGAAATACGGACAGAATCCTCGGGAGTAATCCTCAGTCCGGGGTATCCCGGCAACTATTTTAACTCCCAGACATGCTCTTGGAGTATTAAAGTGGAACCGAACTATAACATTACCATCTTTGTGGACACCTTTCAAAGTGAAAAGCAGTTTGATTCACTGGAAGTATTTGACGGTAAGTTTTTTCAATTTCTGTACAGCAATGACCTATAAACTATTCATAAAAACACCATTCTAATACTTAGTAACAGGAGGATGTGGTTATATTTTCCAGTGAAATCCCATCTACTCTAGAGAAAACAAAACAAGACGAACGTTTAATTACGCTAGGATTTATGCATTCTCAGAGATCAAGTGGTCTTAAAACAACATCATACTAAAGTTAAGGCTACACATTTTCAAACCGAATGTCTAAAGGCACTCTGCCTGTCCTGAATTGTAAGAACTCTTTAATTCTTTAATGTGGGATTCAAAGCAGGTGCCTCAAGCAGCCCTTCCTTTCTTTACAAACTATAGTGTTGTATTGATCCACAAGGCACTTTAGGAAAACTAAGAATTTCAGAAATATTTCAATCACTCTACGTGGTGATTTTACTCAAAATGTGTGAAAATAACGATTCACAAAGTCTTGTAGCCTGTAAGTTCTATACACATCCTTAACTTACATTTTCAAAAATAACTAAATACAGTTAACTAAAAAGATGCTAGCACTGTTTTTGATGCTAGTCTTACGATTTTTATGCTACTATAATGGACATTTTAATATAATAGTGTATATGGTTGAACTGTCAATTTGAAATGGAACCGACGTTAACATTTGTCTTTGTATAGAAGCATCGTCTGGCCCAGGGTACAATTACGGCTGAACATAATAACACTGTTTTCTTGTGTTTTGACAGACCTGTCATTGAGTTCAGATGAGTCATAATCATCTGATTGATTCTGTGTGTGTTTGTGTGTGTTTTACTGGCTTGATGGGTCATAGCAGCCAAATGGCTTACAGGGCTATACCCGCATGAATCCAAGTATGCATTCCTGAAAATTAGCTACAAATTGGAAGTTAAACTCTCATTTTTATACATAGAAATAGCAGACTAGAGAGTGTGTATGCTTGCATGAGTGTTAAATGTATGCCTGAATGGATATGCATACTTGAAGACTTTTCCCTCCCTCTTTGACATGAAGAAAAATAATTCACTAGCCAAGTCCAAGAAATGGGCTTGTAACGTAGACAAACAAGTGCAACAGCTGCAGTCCTGTGGCCCAGTAAATGTTACAAGAAATACACAAAAGGAAACAGCCCATCTCACAGGCTGTGTGTGTCCGTGTGTGTACTTGTGTGTGTATAGATGTGTGTCACTGTGCATGCCAACTATAATTAAATATATATACATACTTAGTTTAAATGTATACATGAAATATAGCGAACAATATTTTATGCCTCTTAATTTCAGAAGCAAAGTTCTTATCAATAACTTATGCACAGATTTCTTACACTCTGACCTCTGCAAAATGGATAGCCTGTGCCCATCATAAGCAACAGCACAATAGACTGCAAAGACAACACTGTACCACTCGCTGCCGAAATTATCAAGGGTGTATGAGCTGTGCTGTTCTGCTCTCACGGATTTTTCTATAAAATGAAAGGTCAAAGTTTTATATGAATAATGTTTTCAAGCAACGGCATTTTTGTTGCAGTAAATGTCATATTTATCTCCTGTTTGATAAGTCTTGGGCTCCTTTATAGCCCACGAGTGGACCAGAAAACACACTGAATGTATTGATTTCAAATGTTGTTAGCCCAGGAGGATGTTATTCTCTATGGTTCAGGGTGGGTATCCTGCACTTTCTCAGAGTAGGACTTTAATCATCACTGAACTCAGCTGAGAAGAGAGTCAGAGGGGGTACAGGGCCCCCTCCTTTCTTCCGCTGCCTGGGTCTCCCCAGCGTAGAGTGTTGCCTTTCAAAGGAGAGTCCTAGAAAGCACCTTGTGTTTTAGACAAGCAACACAGATGGAAAGTAATGAGGGATTTGACGTAGGATTAGCAATACCTGAAGCTTCACTCTTGAAGCCAGTGACTAAGCTGACACTGTACAACACTGTAAGTTCAGGTTAAGTAATTTCCTGGTGGCATTTATTTTAACGTATGCACTATCTCTTTAGGCAACAGCAAGCCACACGCAGGGCGCACACCTGCTTTGTTCAGTTTCGGGTGCAGTCGTCCTCAGCAGGGTGTCAGGGAGAAGCGGGCTGTCCGCCGATCGCCTTTATTCCCGAGCTGGTTTTCTGCATGTGCACAGCGCGGCCTTCACAGAGTGCCGTAGAGGCTCACGCCACAGGAAATGATGGTCTCACAGTCTGGAGACTGGGTGTCCGAGAGCCGGGTGCCTTGGAGCTAGTTTCTCCAGAGGCCTCTCCTGGGCTCAGGACACCTCTCTCCCTGTGTGCTGCCTGCCTGCCTGCTGGGGGTCCTGGGCCTCACCTCCCTTCCTCAAGGACACTGGTGCTGGGAGCTCCTTTCATCCTGGTTACCTCTGTGCAGAGCCCACACACTTCTGCAGGCGCACGGACAGGTGACTGAGCTGAGCTGAGCCTTTGGCAGTGTCTCTGGGAAAATCCCTGCAGTTACACAGTAAATGAAGTTGTGATTTCTCAGCATCTTTGCACAAATGAGAGTTCTACGTGCAACCTTCAAAGATAGGTGTTGCTGGCCCTGATGACCCTTGTATTAGGAAGAGCCGGGCAGGTCTGCCCTTCTGGACTGTGATTCCAGGGAGTGTACTACGAAATGCAGGACAGCCATTGAGACCAGGAGGCAGTGCTGCGTCCCTAGGAGAACTAGGAGAGTGACAGCAGCTTCTGTCTTCAACAAGGCAGCTTCTCCTGTGCGGTGCGAGCTCACACCAGGCTGCACTTGCGCTGATTAACTGTATACTTCATCTTAGCTTCACTTCTCAAAACCTCCTTGAAAAATTACAAAGAAACAGGAAAGTAAAAAATATATATATATTTGTAGACAGTGGATTTTGTTTTTGTTTTTTTTTTTTTTTTTTCATTTTCAAATTTACTTAGGCTTTCTTTCATAAAGCAGCAGAGCACAGGTTCACACAGAGACTCCACGGGGCTCAGGCCCTGTCTGGCTCCTGCAGGATGTTCCTGGTCTAGTCCAGGTGTCTGTGGTCCGGTTCTGTCTTATTTTCCTACTTTACTCCTATCTCTCGCTTGACGTGTCCACGTCTGTCTATCCACCCATCTGTCATCTGACCGCACGCACACTGGGTGTGCTGGGTAGTTTTGAGCTTTTATACCATTGCTGTATTTATCTGCAAATGGATATTTTTAAGATGACAGTATGCCATGCTCAGAATTATCTACGCTGACAATACATATAATTAATGAAAAGTATATTTCATTTACATATTTTAATTTGAGATTCTCTAATAACTTACTTTCTTTTAATGATATTTCCAATACTTTCATATAACTCCCAACTATTAGCTGGGCTCCAAACTTTACCATGAGAAATTATGCTGGAATGCATGTTTTGCTTTATCCAGAACACTTCTACACATGCAGTAGAGTTTAAAGAAATATAATTACAGTTTTAATTTTTGATTTTATTAGATATGGGTAAGTTGCTCCCCAAGGAGCTTGTCATCACTTACATCTCCACTGATACCCCCAGACAGCTTCCCACCTCTTGTATCCACATTGTATTATAAATGCTAGTGATATAGAAGTCACTTGTAATTGTTCAAATGCAGCTGTTTATGGCAGAATTCATTTAAGTGCTGTGTCCCTCATAGCCTATGCACCTGACATTTTTCTGGGTGTTCTATTTTATCAAGGGTATACCTGTGGGTGTGACTGCTTTGAACCCTTCACCCTCTTTGGAGGTAAATAGTTGGGCATCATCTTCGTAGAGCCAGGTTCCACCAAAGCTACCCCCAGCGTCCGCGCTTTGGCAGCACGGGCTCAAATCTGAGCTTTTGTGCTCCTCTCTTTCCTGCAGGTTCTTCTGGGCAGAGTCCTCTGCTCGTGGTCTTGAGTGGGAACCACACTGAGCAGTCGAATTTCACCAGCCAGAGCAACCAGCTCTTCCTCCGCTGGTCCACCGACCATGCGACCAACAAGAAAGGCTTCAAGATCCGCTACGCAGGTGAGCCTGGGAAGACCACCCTTGGCGGGCTGCATCCCACAAAATCATTTAGAGATTGTGATTTAAATCTGACTACTGGCTGTGAACTCCTAGACCCAGGAGAAGTAGCGTGATAGGAAAGTACTAGGCGATATCTCTAAACAGCACAGGTCCACCCGTTAATATTTAATATCTATTGTTAAATGATAAGCCACTGAATTGCATACTGTAGACAAAAAAGAGAGCCCTCAAAAGACAAAATGTAACTAATATTAAAGTAGCTTTGGATATTATGAGAACAAACAGGAGATTATTATATTACTATTAAAATGTCAGTGATAAAAATCTGACTATTAATAGTATGTGCATTACTTTACATATGCATACATACCGTGTTTAACTACACACATATGCAATATAAACATATGCATGACAAGTGTTTTTTAAGCCTTTCCTTATCACAATGTGGATTTTTTGTTCTTTCTCTGTATGCGTTAATCATTCTTTCAATAGTTATTTATACTTTATCAATCATTAGTTACTCAACAAATGATATAAATCAGCCAATGCATTTGTGATATGTTAGATCCTGTGCACAAGCTTCAATCCAGTCTGATCCACAGTGATCTTTACATCACCCTTCCATGCAATAGGGAGAGTCTTCTAATTCCTTGGGGTATTTTAATTAACAAACAACAAATAAAACACACAAACAAAAAATACCAGCAACAAAACCCCACACACTTCCAGGTCTGTATCTGCGGTCCTCGTGATCACATTTGGGCGGCACTGCTGAGGGCACTGCCCTGTGGACAGGAAGTGGGTGGGTCTGCAGAGAGGGCGGTTTGTCCCTCTGCTGCTGCGTCTGGGCTTTGGGGAGAGGAGCAGCCCCAGAGCAGGAAGCGGGTCCCCTGGTTTGCGGACAAGGCTGCGACTCTCACTGGCTGGAGTCGTCCAGGTGGCTGTGGAGGGCCCCAGGTGAGGAAGGGGCATGAACGGCAGCCTCCCCACTACGGGAAGAGTGCGCTGAGGCCATCGCACCTGTGCCACCAGAGCGTCAGAACGGGAATTGCACTTGCACCTCTCGAAACCCTTGTTCTGAGAAATGGACGGGTACCCAGACTTTTCAAACCGAGTTTATTTGCAGTGTGTGAAGCAGTCAAGTGAACACGACCCACCCTGTTCCTCTGAGGCCCATCACTTCGCAGCCTGCTGACGGGCTTGCGCCTTGGAGCCTCTGCTTCTCACAGGACATCGTCGTGCGTCGCGCAGGAAGATTCTCACTCAGCCATATCAAGAGTCCGTGGCTACAAAATTGCTCATTTTTGCCCTTGGAGACGTCATACAGGCTGATGATTATGTACGTGTATTATGCATGAATGCAAGTGCAGATTTTCACTTAAAGCCCAGTGACTGTCTGGTCTCTGTTCTGAGGTCACCCAGGGCCTCTCCGCAGGGACTCAGTGAAGTGCCCTAAAGTGTCAAGCTTTGGGCTGGGGAGCTCCTGTCCATAGGGCTCCACGGCTCCACGCTGCACCCCAGCCTGCGTCCGCCTCCCACACATGCACAGTGTGGCTGCTCATCACAACTGGATGTCGAGGGAGAGACAACGAACAGCTGCCTGAGTCACGGTGGCTGGCAACTTAGCAAGCCCTGCCGTGTGGGTGAAGGGCCGTGAGCGGCCCTCCAGGTCTGCAGAGAGCACTGGAGCCTCAGCGCCGGGAAAGAGAAAGTGGACCGGCAATGGAGCAAGGAAGCGAAGAACCTCTAAGCCAGGCATGGGTTTCCAGGAAAAACAGTGTGGACGGAGCTCCGAGGCCACCCAGAGAGCGTCTCCCAGGGGGACAATGCTCACCGAACACAGCAGGGCCCTGGCCAGCCCAGGCTTGCTCCTGGGCAGAGCTGAGGCAGGAAACACAGAGAGCATCCCAGACTTGCTTTAGGGAAGAGACAGAGGGCTCCTCAGAGCAGCTGGAGTAGGCTGAGGCTGGGAACCTCTGCTTCAGAAGAATGGGAGCTTCCAGCCTTTAAATTTTAAAATCCTGTTCTCATTGACTTGAGGGTATTTGTGAGGTTTTAAACTGTAATGCACCAGCCCAGTAATCCTAAAGTAAGATTCTTTCTCTACCCGTGTAAATAAGTGGCAAAGCCTTTCAGCTACCAAAATATTACAGCGTGGCAAAGATGGTTATTTTACCAGATGCTTGTCTCCAACTTAGAAAACCCTCCCTTCAAAGGAGAAGTGCTACGGTAAGGTCTTTATTGATCTGAAGTCATGGCTTTTCCTCTGCCTTGGTTATTTTTCTATCATTGCTGGGGCAAAGTATCTGACACCCAAAATTAAGGAAGAAAAGGATTATTTAGCTCACAGTTTGTAGAGGTTTCAGTCCATAATCAGCTGGCTCCCAGGCAGAGTGGCACATGGCAGAAGAGCAATAGTTCATGGTGGCAGACAGCAAAAGCAGCAAGAGGAAAAAGGAAAAGAGCAAGCCTCTTTTTCTCCCTTATATTATGTGCAGACTACCTGCCCTGGGGCAAGTGTAGCACTCATACTCCCAATCCCAGCATTAGACAATAAACCAATCACAAAGTCTAGATTTAGCTGCCTCCAGTAAGCCCGCCCCCATAACTGCATGAGACTTTGGAGGGACATCCAGAGACAAACCATAGCATCATCAAAGATGTCACTCTAATGCCGTATCTTAGAAAAAAAGCTGAGTATCTGCGTCAGGTGCTATTCCTTTTTTTTTTTTTTTTTTTTCTGGGACCAGGAATTGAAGTCATGACCTCTCGCTTACCAGGCAGGCACTGTGGTGCTGAGCTAAATCCCCAGACCCCAGGTGCCATTCCTAAAGCCCACCTAGCAATGTGGAGAAAGTCACTGGCCTTGCATGCCAAAGCATTATGTTCTATTTTCTTCCTTAATAATACTTTTTAGTGTAGAAAGTATTTTTGTTTCTGGTGGCTGCGGAGCTTGCTTAAATGATGACCTGGCAGGAAGCTATGCAGGGGCTACGCCTCACCGGGACACAGTGGTCAGAACCATGTCCTCTCGGTAAATCCAGCCGCAGCCACCTGCGTTTCAGGGGAAGAGTGGATTCTGGGCTCTTGTTTGTAGGATAAGTTTATGTATTGATGCTAATCTCGTGTGTGTGTATGTGTGTGTGCGGTACTGGAGATCAAATCCCAGAGCCTTTGCCCTGAGCTACATCTCCAGCCATTCACACTACGATTTTGATGTTTAAGGCAGGGTCTCATTAAATCACTGGGTTGCACAGGCTAGGATGCAACTTGCCACCTTCCTGTGTCAGCCTCCCAGGGTACTGGGATTGCAGGTGTGGACTACCATACCCAGCTCACTTCCTACGTTTTCATAACTGCAGATTTCATTTGTGCCGCTCTCCCCCAGGCAATAGCCCTGCTTTTTTTGTGACTTCCTATGTGTGTGTTTTGTGCCCGCAGCTCCGTACTGCAGCCTGACCTCCACTTTGAAGAACGGCGGAGTTGTTAATAGGACAGCAGGGACAGTCGGGAGTAAAGTGCGGTACTTCTGCAAGCCTGGGTACCGCATGGTGGGCCACAGCAATGCCACCTGCAGCCGGAGCGCCATGGGCATGTACCAGTGGGACTCCCTCGTGCCCATCTGCCAGGGTAAGACACGTGTACCCCCCTGCCCTGACCGTGGTCCCGTTCTTGCCTTGACCGCAGTCAAAACTGGGTGACTGTGGAGGGCAGGTAAGGAGAAACTGCGTGTGGGCTTGGCACCGTACTTTAAGGCTTTTCACCCACGAGTAGAGCCTGCTGACATTGAGGTCGGCTGACTTAGAGCTGGAGCCTGAATTCAGAGAAGGGACGTCCAGCAGGTCCCTTCTTATGCTCACTGCAGGTCATGGGAAAGCAAAACCTGTGCCGTCCAATTAGAAATGATCCCTCTTGATCATTGCAATGGTTAAAATAATCTACTACCGAACAGCTCTCTCTCCTTATCTTAGCTTTAACCAGGGATGGCAAACCTTTCAGAGCTTTCGGTGATAACGAACAGCCCGGGTGGTTTGCCGCTGCTGGTTTAAATAGTCCTTCTTTTAGCCTTAAGGTTTATATTTGATTTTCTCTTTGCTCATTTAAATCTAGGGCTCACTAGCAATGTCAACATTCTAGGCCTGTTCATCTGTCAAATGCGTAGAAACCAATTGGAGAGTTCTAATTTCAGCTGACGGAGTCATGAAGTGACCCGAGTCCCGTCTGCACATTAGCTTTGGGAAGTCAGTCTGCCTCCTGAGAGGGGCTTCGTGTCGGCTGTCTTCCCTCCTGTCTGGGCGTTCGTTTCCTAGCCTGCTCCGCGTAGAAGTAGGCACTGGCCATGCTCGCCGGTGTCTGAGGCCGTCAGGACCTCAGCAGAGGCTTGGCTTGTGCTGTGCACATTTCACCCCCAAATTTCCTCCTGATCAAGGTGAACATCATGACAGCCCACACAGCTGTCTCAGTGGGAGTGGGCAAACTCTTCTAAGCGGACACTTCGCTTTTTGTTTTAGAAGATGGCACACTTTCCACTGGTTCTGGATGTTCTTTGACTCTGTGGCATGCAGCCTAGACTCCAAGGGGTCAGAGCAGGGCCCGGACGCAGAAGTCTCTGAACCCAGGCCCTGGAGGCTGCGTCAGTCAGAGTCCAGGTGGGATGTACTCGGAGCAGAGCCCCAAACAGCCCCAGTCAGGCGTTTGTGGGGGGAACCGGGGACACTGGCAGGGCGTGTGGGTCTGTCTCCCTGCAAGCCACTCTGGAGCTGGCTTTCCAGAAACCTGGTGAGGAGAAGGAGGGCAGGAGCTCACTTTCCTGCTCCCGGAGCTGCCCTGCCTGGAGTTACAGGACCTGGGGCACACAGGGCACCCGACCTCTGGCGGGTCTCCCAAAGTGCCCATTCCCACTGAGAGCCTTGCTCGCACCAGGGAGCCAGTGTGATGTCCTTTTTCCTTCGCAAATGTTGACCTTTCCGTCACGGAGGGACCCTAAAAATAAGCCAGTTCTACCTAGGGTGTGCTTTTAAACAGGGGCGGCACCATCACGTGACTTATTAAACCAGGAAAACATTGCTCAGGAGCCAGCCCTCTGCCCTCCTGCTCCTGTTTAAGTCAATGGTTTCTTGCCAAAAGAAATTCCACTTCAAACAAAATCCAGAGGACAGCAGTGCTGGAAGTAGCCTGTGTGTCCGATGCCAAAATTCTTTCACTGTAGAAGAGGTTTTGGTTGTTCGGCTTTGATTTTGTTTTAGTCTTCTCTTAGTTACGATTTGTGTACAGTGACATATTAACTAACACAGTATAAAAATGACCTCATCCTTTATGAGGCTGTAATGTTTAAAATAAAGCAAGGAAGTAGTATAAAGTAGGGTTTTGATCATTTTAATTATATAGCACAATTAAACAATTTGGCATCTAAAAATAAAATTAAATCTTAAAAATAAGTAGTGAAAACTATTATTTGGATAGGTAAAGACTGCTGAGAAAGAATTCTACAAATTCTAAGCAAAGCAAAATTATACAGCATGCATTCCTGACTTATAACCCAGAGGCCTTTGCGTCTGCCTGGGGAGTGTCACTAAGCTGACATGAACTGTGGGCATGAGTGTAATTTTGCAATGGGCAGGGAAGGGGTGCTGATGTGTTGGAGCTGCCGGGCTGCTTCCCGCGCTGTTCCCAGGGTGCAGGCCTTTCCCAGGGGGACAGTCAGCTTCCTCATGGAGGGAGGCATAGGCCTGGTGGGTGGCTTTCTGCCCTAGCCTTGCCCGTCTTGTGCCAGGGGGCTCTAGGGCAGGTCAGATGTGCTGGTGCTTGTGTGAGTCAGTGCAGTAGGCTCGTTTCCTCCCAGGGGCTCTGGGCTCCTTCCCGAGGACAAGCGTCCTGAGTTACAGGGACCTAGAGAACACACACACACTAGGCCGTGCAGATTTAGCAGCCGCCTTCTTGGTGTGGCAACGGACCTCTTTTCATGCAACTATCTCATGCAACCTGCTCAAAGGAAACCGCTCAGGAGTTACAAGCAGGCAGGGCAGGGAGGGTGGAGAGAGGACGGAGATAGAAGGAAGCCCACAGGAGGACCTGCGCGTGCTCTGGGCGTGGCACTTAACCATAACCTCGGGTCAGGGTAGCAGCTCAGAGTGGCCCGCAAGGAGAGGGCTGCAGTGTGTGGTGTGCATGTGCCAGTGGCCTGGCTAACTGCACGTCTTACACATGGATCGAGATGTCACACCCCATCGGTATGTGCATTCCACACCGGTTTAAAACAATTAAATACTAAAAGTTCAAAAACAGGCAAAGTTTGAAAACATCTAATGAAGGCATTCTGCTTAAAATGTACTTACTGCTACTTTTCTCCGGTGTTAAAAATGCGAATGTCAAGGGAAATCTAAGCTCTACCTGATGATTCGTATCTTGTTTTTCTACTTAATTTATCGTGGAAATCCACGCCACAATTAGACAGCTTTTTATTTCAGTTTTATGATAGTTGAAAATGTGTGCAGTCTTTAAAAAACCCTGATATCCGTGTCGGAAGAGAGTTCGTACACGCGGAGGGATCATCACCGTGGGATGCCGAAGGGCTGAGGGCTCGTGACTGCGGCTGTGAAGTCGGGGGCGGGAGGCCTGTCCAGAATGCTCGAAGTCGCTGAGGACAGGCTGCAGGACTGTCCGGCACCCCGCTGACCCCACCTCAGCAGCCAGGAAGCCTCTTGGGATCAGCTCGTCTGCGGGTGGTGTCTGCGCTGCTGTGAACCCGGGAAATGAGGATCGTCCGGCGGCATTTGCCTCTGGAGCCTGAGGCTTTCAGTCACGCCATCCGCACTCAACGTGGGAGCTGCTTCCCGGAGAGGGGAGACTCTGTATAATTCCTGGCCGTGTTTGTTTTCATCTGCCCTGCTGCAGGGCAAAGTGTTGAGAACCATGGGCTTATATCTGTAGACTGGGGCTGCGGCTGCTGGTTTAGCCCTTGCGCTCCTGTTCAGGAAAATGGGCCTCCTTTCATTGCAGTCCAACTCATCCCGCAGGTAGGTGCTGCAGTGTGAGATGCGAAACAGCCCAGCTTTGACAGGTGGAGCCTGGTGGAAGGAGCCGCACACGGCCCTGCGGATGCAGTGTGGCCGGGCACAGGGACAGCAGGGCGACCCTGAGCAGAGGACAGGGCAGGCTCAGTGCTCGGGTGATGGGAGGTTGGCACTGCAACGGCAGGGCTCCTCCTGATGAAGACGAAGGAACAGGGAGGCAGGTCCAGGTCCTGGAAGACTCAGCTGACCTTCAGGAGGCCTTTGCTTCCTGTCCCATGGCAGACACGAGTCTACTTAGCATTTTTTGCCCTATTGGAAAGCCTGCCTGCTGAGCCCAGGGCCCTGCACGTGGCAGGCGAGTGCTTCACCTGAGCCACTCCCCGGCTTGATGTGAATCTACTCAAGATCAAAAGAAAAGCTCTCCTCCTTGCGCTTAGGAGGGTGGACCTGCAGTGGGTGAAAGAAATGGATCCTGCCTAGGTCACGGCACTTAGGAGCCCGTATGCTGAGCCATTATAAACCCACCGCAGACTGTGGGAAGGAGGATCGGGCAGGGATACAGGTAATGAGAGTAGTCAGGCGGTGGTGTCTGAGCCCCTGGTGGTGCCATGAGGGGGATGGGAAAGAGATCTGGGGTGACCCCCTTCTGTTGGTTGTGAGGTGGGAGCGTCTGCTCCCGTGCTGGATAAGGATTGTGAGGACCAAGGGGGCCAGGCTGCTGTGCTCCTGGGACTGTGGGCCAGGGTAGCCACCAAGCCAGACCCTTGGAGGAGACCGAGCTCCTCCTTTTGCAGAAAGGTCGCGGTGGTTTAAATTAGCTCAGGGTGCTGGGTACAGCTTTGTTTTTCTCCAGGTGTTTGGCTCTCTTAATTTGATAAGAGCCAATTCCAAGAACATGAATGTAAGGCTTTGAAAACCAGTATCTGGTCTGGTTGGTGGCACACCACTGTAATCCCAGCACTCAGGAGGCTGGGGCAGGAGCACTGCAGTGAGTTCAAGGCCAGCCTGGGCTATGTCGCAAGACTCTACCTCAAAAAGCAAAGCACAACAGAAACAAATAAACAAAAAAAACTAGTATCTGCGACAATAAATTTCAGCCAGACAGCTTCACTATCCGACAAATAACATCTGAGCTGTCTACCAAGAGGTCAGGTGTGGTCAAGAGCTGCTACAAATTGGTGCAGACATTTGGAGATAATTAAGAATTTATTAACTGATGTAAATGTGGAAATGTTTCAAGGTTTTCACTAACTCAAAGGTCGTCATGGCTACTTCATCTTCATTTGAAAGTAAAGGACTGGAACACCGAAGAATCAGTGCATAAATAAATAAATGTCTCTTTAAAGCCTGCGTTGACATATTTAATATTTCAACCATGCTTGACTTACAAAATATTTTATCATGGTTTGGACAGCCTTCCCTTCCTTCTTACAGAAGAGCAAGTACAGTTTATACCTGATCTGAGGCCTTAGGACCTTCGATTTTTAAAACAGTGTCTAAAGCACGTTTGGGAAGCTACCCAGAGCTCGGCATTCTCCCTTCCGGAGTCAGAGTGCGGTCAGGGGGCATTGTGCTCCCGCCGGCCGCTGCTGCAGTCGCCCCACTGGCCCCTTAAGC